CTCCAGCATCTGCAGTTCCTACTATCTCTGGAGGAAAAACACCTTATTTTCCACTTGGGTACCTTGCAGCCCTCCCGACTCAATACAGTTCAATAATTTTAGGGCCTGAACTCTCCAACCCCACACAACAGGCCTTGTTATCGCATAACCTGCCATTACACATTTTACCTGTTGTTAGTCCCCTCTCATTTCACCATTACCTCCCTCCTAACCAGATCGTTATCCAATCCTTCATCTGTCCAATTGTTCTTCTCTCTCTTTGCGCTTTATCCCACCTATCATTTACTCCTGACTCCCTGCTATCCTCTGCATATAAACCAACATTTTCCTAGCTACCATCAATTCTGAGGAAGGGTCACCGAATTTGAAACGTTAACTCTGATTGATCTTCTAAGATGCTGTCAGACCTGCTGAGCTTTTTCAGCAATCTCTATTTTTGTTTCTGATTTATAATGTATTGCCTAAAAATGCCTGGTGGAGGTAAGTTGAAATGAAACAGTTGATGGGAAGCATCAAAATATATTTAAAGAGAAATAATGTGCAGGGTTACAGAGAAAAGGCAGGAGTTTGGCACCAAGTTGAAATGCTCAGAGGCTTTTGCAGACACAATGGACTGAATGGCCTCCTTCTGCACCATAGCAATTATGATTTAGAAACTATTTAGGTGACATTCATTCTCTTCAAGAATGATCCCCAGATTACAAAGTCATTTAAACATATCAAGTCCTGTGTTTAAAAAGTGATACACACCTAACAAATAACTATTAGGCCTATATAAATTTATATAATTTATTAATGTGCCCCAATAGAGAAGCTGTTGTTAAAATAAGGAAAATGCATCTGGAAAGGGGGTAGAAATGCTGAAAACGCAAAATAAAATTTAGAAAAACCGCAGCATCTACTATACAACAAAAAACTCATGGTAAAATAGGAACTGAAAGATCTACGCTTAAATTCTCACTTCACTTTCAGATAATGGAGTGATTTGTTGTTTTCTCCCAGTAATTTAAGTAAGGTACCAGTAAATGTATAAACACTTCAATATTTGGAATGGGTCAATGAGGGATTGCACCTTTGATTTTAACATTCCTTTAAAGTCAAAACAAAGAACAAAATCTGAAGGTTTGCACAAACAGGTTCTTAAACTAATCTCCTAGGGAAAAACATGTAAAACATGTTTGTATTTTCTACCATTTATCAATAATTTAAAAACTACAGAAATCCGTTAATTGACAAAACACTCGCATTTCAAACTGAAATCTCTCAAAGAGCTGCATCACATCAAGTAACGCATGCGCCATGTCAATGGGCCTATCCAAAGATGGGGCGCGCCTGCGCTGTGAATGCGGCAGGATGGGGCACGCCTGCGCTCTGTGTGCTGCGGGTCGGGCGCCTTTGCGCTCTGGACGTTGAGGCAGCAGTAAACATGGATATAGCGTATGTATGTGAGTGGGAGAAGCGGCCGAAGAGCAATTATTGTCCGTCTGTACAGCTGGTGTGTGCTTGGTCCTGCAGAAACCTGGTTGCCTTCACAACGGATCTGAAGAACGAGGAAGAGCAAGAACAAGGTAAGGTTTTGGGTCTGGTCTGCCTCATCTTTCCACTGTATTTGTTCAGATGTAATAAAGTTCATTTTGATTTAAAATTCTTAAGTATCTCCAGAGGCATGAATTTCTCTAACGTTTTGACCTAGCTTTTGGAAACATCTTGGAGAGCTTGGTAAACAGAGTGTGACTGTTGTTATGTGAACAGAAATGTGAATCCAATTGCAGAGAACAAGATCTCAACAATAATTTAAGGTGATAAACTTATGTTTAGGTTATCAATGTAAGGAAAGAAAGTCTTGCCACCTAATCTGAATCTATCATACTGCAGCTATCAATTTTTGCAGCTTGGTCAGGTACTTGTGCCTTCAAGCCTCACTTCAAAGAGTAGAGCACAAATCTAGGCTGACACATCAGTGAATTTAAGAGGGAATGTGCCATGAGAGAAGGTACCATCTTTGAATTGTTGGGGTCCTCTGAAATGTATGTTAAAGATGCCGAGGCACAATTTAGAGCAGGGCATGGCACTTCTTTCTGGCGTAGTTATTGTTGTTTATCTCTCAACCAATGTCTGAAAACAGATTTACAAGGTGTAGAACTGGATGAACACAGCAGGCCAAGCAGCATCAGAGGAGCAGGAAGGCTGACGTTTCGGGCCTAAACCCTTCTTCAGAAAACTTGGCCTGCTGTGTTCATCCAGCTGTACACCTTGTATATCTCAGATTCGCCAGCATCTGCAGTTCCTACTATCTCTGAAAACAGATTGGTGTTTTTATTTGCATTATTGTTTGTGAGATTTTGCTCCACAAAACTTGGCTTTCTGCATTTCCCAAATTACAATAGTGGCTTCATTGCAAGAAGTGCTTTAAGATATCCTGACATTGTGAAAAGTCCTATATAAATGTAATATTTATTTTTCTTGCACTGCATGCTTTTGACTTGACAATATTGAACAGTTTGTTTTTAATGCAAAGCCATATCTCTGAGGATTAAGATATTATATTCTGTTTGTTGGACATATAGTAAATATCAAATTGGATAGGTTCAAAGAATTACTGTGGCTATAAAAGCAGCGGGTTGTGAGAATTAAATTTGTTTCTGTCAGCAGGAAGAGGAGGAGAGACTGGCTTTAGATTATTTATTAAAATAAAACTTCCTGATTTAAACTCCAACCCAAATTTTTTTTTAAGTGTAACTAGAAATAAATGAAATGCTTTCAAATATACTGGAGTAATACCAAATATGATAAATATCCAAGATGCTGTCAGGAAACCTGTAACTTCTAAATAGAAGTCAAAACAGAGGACTGGAGTAAGTTAAAAATATTTGCGGTAACAGTTGAATATTGATGCCACAAGATAGTTGACCCAATCGCTTGTAAACAATTTCCCTATGTTCTGCCTCTTGCTGGATTTAAACATTTGCAAAAGATGATAACCAAAATTTTGAACAAGACGTGTGTTGCCAACTTGAACTATGTCAGTGCAGCGCACTTGTTAAAAGGAAAGGAATTTCCAACATACTGGAGTCTTGTTAAACCATTATTACTTTGCAATAATGAGTTCAAGCCCCAAGCTTTATTGTCTTGTGGGAGGTACCAAGTTTTGCATTCTTACTGCATGCTGACCAGTCCACCTGAAATTGAGCTTTCTTTCCCTTTACATTTGTTCCTAAACCTGGTATTTTTTCAGTATGTAGACCCAATCAACTTGCTCTGTGTTTCCAGAATTTTTTGATATTTTGTCTATTCATGGCTTAATTGAGAATATTTTAGCAATGAGACTGTACAGAGTTTCCTAACAGTATCTCTTTTTTATAGATCTTACTTATATGATTCACATTTTGGATACTGAGCATCCTTGGGATGTTTACTCTATTAACTCAGGACATCATGAAGTGATTACTTCTCTGGAGTGGGATCAATCTGGTAAGCCTTTTTTCATTAACCTGCAATCTCCCCCAGAACCACCAGATTCAATCGTAAAATGAACAGGCAAGCCTGGATATGTAGGAGCACCACAAATTTGATAAACAAATAACTATGCATAACAAATTATAATCTGATGAAGATCAGTTATCCTCTCTAATTGGTGGTGCCTGATGGTACGGAAAGTTTAGGGCTTAAGATCTGACCTGTTCAATGTTTTTCCCTATTGCCTGTGCTCTCATTTAAAGATGTGTTAGGTAGAAAGTTGAGATAATGTTTCTGCTTTATGCTGTATGTAAGAAAGCCACAAAATGCTTTACAGAGCGTGCCCTTGATTTTACCACATAATGCAGAGAAGAACTCTTTCTCAATGTTTTGCAGAGGAGTACTCACCCTGGTCAATGCTTCATAATGAATAGATGACATACACATTTCCTTTTGTGGATAGCTACTACATTGTTGACTGAATTATCTTCTGGCTTCAAATTTAATGTAGTTGGAAAGAAAAATGTAGTTGGAACTGAACGGTATCATAATTGTTATTAAAATGTATGTTTTTGAATTGAGTTGTCTATTTAAAATGTATATTATTTTGCTTCACTCTGTCTCCTTGTAAGGTTCTCGGTTATTATCTGCTGATGCTGATGGTCGGGTGAAATGCTGGAGTATGACTGATCATCTGGTAAACAGCTGGGATAACATAGTTGGGAGTTCAGTGGACGGGGATCCCATTGTAGCCTTGTCGTGGCTACACAATGGTGTCAAGTTGGCCTTGCATGTAGAAAAGGTATATGCTACAGTCAAAGTCTTCAGCAATATTTTAACTACCTGTCAAAATCCAGCATCTTGTCTGAAACAAAATTCAGTGCCCGATACAGTCAGTCACATGGCTGAGTGTAGCACAGAACTGCATTTTCTCTTTAATCTGTGAGCCTTAAGTTCTGGAACATTGAGATTGCTTTTATTTTATCTTTTACCTCATTCCCCATCAGTCTGGAGCATCCAATTTTGGTGAGAAGTTTTCTCGAGTGAAGTTCTCCCCTTCCTTGACACTTTTTGGAGGGAAGCCAATGGAAGGTTGGATTGCTGTAACCATTAGTGGTCTAGTGACTGTGTCGTTACTGAAACCAAGTGGACAGGTTCTCACTGCTACAGAGAGTTTATCACGTTTGAGAAGCAGAGTTGCCCTGGCAGACATTGCATTCACTGGTGGTGGGAACATCGTGGTGACTACTTCGGATGGCAGCAGCTCCTCTCCCGTTCAATTTTATAAAGTCTGTGTGAGTGTTGTAAATGAGAAATGCAAAATTGACACTGAACTGCTTCCATCACTCTTCATGCGTTGTACGACAGACAGTGCTCGAAAGGAGAAGTATCCGGCTGTCACACATCTGAAATTTTTAACAAGAGAGACATCTGAGCAGGTAATGTGATTTTTTCCTTATTTCTCCACCTGCATACCCCTGCTGCCAGTCCCACGCAAAGGCAGTTTTAAGTTAGAATTCAGGTATCTTCTGGTCAATGTGTTATAGTTCCATGTATTATCAAGAAGTCATTTCTGATGTAAATATATCTAAACATAACTAGTTTCATTGAGATTAGTATTTTGGTTGCCTTAAAGTCATAATCTTTTATGCCTATAGAGATGAAAAAGTCTCAGAATATACCGTCCATGCTGTTAGTGTGTGAGAATTGGTATTAGTATCCATATTGCATAAATATTGTGATGGTTGATGGGTAAGAGACTATTTACACTTTATCAAAATGACATTCAGTGAGGCTATAATCATTGAAATCTTCACTTATGAATCTGAATTCTTAATCCTGGTAGGCTGCCATTTTCTGTAGCTGACCTGAATAAAGGAAGCTGTGCTATAACTATGTCCATACGATTACCAATTTGATACTGAAAATCAGTGGAGATTAGAAATGCTTCACAAGTCTGACAACATTTCTGGACAGAGAAACAGCATTAATGATTCAGGACTGACCAGAAGTTAAGTTGTTTCTCCATAGATGCTACCAGATCTGCTGAGCATTCTCAGCAGTGTGTTTTTATTTCATATTATTAGCCACACCATGCTTTGTTCTTGTGCTGCTATAAATTGCCTGGCTACCAGAAGTATTACACTGTTGTTTCACATTCTTCATAGTCCTTTAGTTTCTTGATGTGTAAAGTGTCACCTTTCATAGAATGGTTACAGCACAGTCAGATGCTATTTGACTCATCATGCCTCAAAAGCAACTTATCATGTGCCACACCTCGCTTTGGCCCTGCACATAATTCCTTTTTAGATAACAATCCAATTCCCTTTTAAATGCCATGATTGAATTTGTCTCTAGCATATTCTAAGGCAGTGACATCTAGATCCTAACTATTTGCCACATAAAAAGTTATTTTTCATGCGGTCATTGCCAATTACCTTCAGTCTGTGCCCTTTGATCTCTATGCCTCTGGCATCTGGATAGGTATGTGAATAGGAAGGGTTTAGAGGAATATGGACCAAATGCTGGCAAATCCAACAAGATTAATTTACGATATCTGGTTGGCATGGACGAGTTGGACCAAAGGGTGTGTTTCCATTCTGTACAGCTCTTTGATTCTATGACTGTATTTGTCCTATTCTGACTCCTGATGATTTTGAATACATTCTGTCAATTTTCACAACCATCCATCTTTCAAGGAGAATAGTCACAGCTTCTCCAGTTTATTCACATAGCTGAAATCCCTCATTCCTGAAACCATCCTCAAATAAAAAACATTCCAAGAGGCGACCCACCCATTTGTGATTTACTAGGCATATTAAAGGCAGTGTTAAACTAAAATAAAATGCATATAATTATGCAAAGACAAGTCTCCGGTCAGTGGATTGTTTGGAATATAAAAAAAGGCCCAAAAACTTGAGGGAAAAATTAAAGCATAAGAGAAATTTACCCATAAATCTAAATAGAGTTAAATATTTAAAATACTTTAAATATTTATAAATATTTATTATATAAATATTTAAAGAATAGTGTCAACAAAGTGAATGCTGGCCCTATAAAATGTCAGACTAGAGAATTCATCTTGGAAAATAAGGAAACAGACAAATCGAACAAGTATTTTACATCGCCCTTCACTAGGGGTAAGAAATATAATATCCCAGAAGCAGCAATGAACCAGGAAATGGATGGGAGGGAGGCATTCAGGAAAATCACAGTCCCTAGAAAAGTAGTAATGAGTGAATTGCTGGAGCTGCGGGTTTACAAGCCTTGATCCCGATAGACTTCATTTTAGGGTCTTAGAAGAAGTGGCTAGTGAGGTAGTTAATGCATTGGTTTTAATTTTCCAAAACTCTTCTCAGAGTCAGAGACAATAGATTAGAAGGAAGTGAATGTAAGTCCTTTTTTCAAAATGGGAGAAAGATGGAAAGCAGGAAACCACAGGCCAGGTAGCTTAACATCTGTCATAAGGAAATGTTAGAAGCTATTATTAAATAAGTTAGAGAAACGCACTTGGATTAGTTCAAGGTAGTCATGCAGAATTGACATGACTTTGTGAAATGGAAATCAGGTTTGATTAACCTGTGAAGAGTTCTTTGAGGAGGTAACATATCCTGATAAAGGGGAACAGGTGGATGTACTATCCTTACATTTCCACTGGAATTTTATAAAGTGTCACATCCAAGATTATCGTGGAAATTAAAGGCTTGTCGTTTAGAGATAGCATGTTGTCGTGGACAGAAATTGGCTGGCTAACAGGAAGCAAGTATAAATGGGTTTTTTCAGGTTGGCAGGATTTGACAAGTGGTGTGTCACAGGGATCAGAGCTGGGACCTCAGCTGTTTACAGTTTATATAATGATTTAGTTGAAAGGGGGGAGATATGGTTGCCAAATTTGCTGGTGATACAAAGATAGGAAGAAACGTAAGTTGTGAAGAATACATACGCAGGTTACTAAAAGATATTGATAGGTTAAGTAAGCAAACAAAATGTGGAAAATGGAGAATAACATGAGAAAATGTGAAATTTTCCAATTTGGCAGGAAGAATAAAAAAAATGCATTATTTAAATGGTGAGAGTTTATAGCGCTCTGACATTCAGGGGGACCTGGGTGTCCTTGTGCATGAATTACAAAAGTTAGTCTGCAGTACTTAGGTAAGTTAATAGAATGTTGTTTACCATATGTGTAATTGAGTACAAAAGAAGGGAGGTTGTGCTTCAGTTACACAGGGCTCTGGTGAGGCCACATTCAGAACACTATGCTCAGTAGTGGACACCTTATTTAAGGAAACGTGTAAGTGCATTGGAGGTAGTTCAGACCAAGTCTACTAGACTAATACCTGGAATGTGCGGGTTATCTTATGTGAATAGGTCGGACAGTCTAGGCTTGTATTCTTTAGAGTTTAGAAGACTACAAGATGAATTGATTGAAACATGCAAAATCCTGAAGGTTCTTGATGGGGCAGATGTGGAGAGGATATTTCCTCTTAGAGAAGAATCTAAACTAGGGGTCACTGCTTAAAAAGCAGGGGTTGCTCATTTAAACAGAAATTAGGTGAAATTCTGTGTCTGAGGGTTGAAAGTCTTTGGAGTTCTTTTCCTGAAAAAAAAAAATGGATGGAGCAAAATCCTTGAATATTTTTTGAAGCAGTGGTAGATAGGTTCTTTTTAAGGGATTAAAATGTTTTCAGGGGTAGGCAGGTTTGTGGATTTGAGGTTACAATCCAATCAGCCATGTTCTTATTAAATGAGTGAGTAGACTCGAGGGCCAAATGATATACTTTTGCTCATGAATCTCATTATCTATTTCTGTACTGTCTCTCATGCCATCATGTTCTTCAGAATGGGTATATGGTAATGATCTATAATGCAAGGAATAGAAACTCCTTTAGAACAAGGGGTGCATTTACCATTAACAGGGAGTCATACATAGTCTACTGGTGCTGCCTGACCATAATTTTTTTTTATTTTTGTAACTCCTTATTGCTGCTTTGTAACTGTTTCTGTAGTGTCTGATTTTAACTGTACAGGTGCATGGGTTTTGAGTGCACTAAAATCAGCCCACTTATACGTTTGATAACTGCAAACAATGGTTTGACTTTTAAATTTTCACTCTTAGTAGTGCTTTAACGTGATCGTAATAAGGCCAAGAGCAAGATGTTCCCGACAGACATCTGAATCTTATGATCAGGCTTGAATCAGAAGATTGCATTGTACTGAGTAGTGAAATAATCACTCCTTGTGATTTTTCCCAGGATGGTCAATTAATCATAGGATGAATTTGCTGCTCCACTAAGATCTGTGGATGGGCTTTTGAAGCTGGAGGACCTATCAGAGGTCTTTATGCTTGAAGGCAGCAGAAGTCTGTAATGCTGATAATTCATTGAAAGAGGGCACATCAAACCTTTTTTCAACTTCTTTAAAGTTAAAAATAGTCAAAAAGGAGTGGGGTAAAAGGCTGGAAGCATTCTGTTGTACGTGACCTGGTAACTGAAATTGACTATTGGGAGGAAAGTAACAAATGGCAGCAAATCATTTCAAATTAAGAGAATGAATCTTTAGTTTCAGGTCTGTCAATATTACTAAAGTAAAAACTTGTGTGTCAAAGTAATTGACATTTCATGTCCCTTACAGGTATTACTGTGTGCTTCCAGCTTGACTGGCAGCATTGTAGAATGTTGGTCATTAAGGAAGGAAGGCTTACCAGTGAATAACATTTTTCAGCCAATTTCCCCTGTGGGTGAGTATGGATATTACTACTTCAAACAATGTTTCATGAAGTATAAATTGCAGATAGCAATGCTTGTCACTTAACCTGTTCTTTCAAAGAGGCTGCAAGTAGTATATTCATTGCGTGGCACAGTGGCTCAATGGTTAGCACTGCTGCCTCACAGCGCCAGGGGCCTGGGTTCGATTCCCCTTGGGCAACTGTCTGTGTGGAGTTTGCACGTTCTCCCCGTGTCTGTATGCGTTTCCTCCAGGTGCTCTGGTTTCCTCCCACAGTCTAAAGATGTGCAGGCTAGGTGGATTGGCCATTCTAAATTGCCCATAGTGTTCAGCGATGTGTAGATTAGGTGGGTTTGGAGAATGGGTCTGGGTGGGATGCTCTGAAGGTCAATGAGGACTTGTTGGGACCGAAGGGCCTGTTTCCACCCTATAGGGATTCTATGGATCTATGGATTCTATGGAGAATGTACACTCTTCTGTAACCTGGCTTTTATTAGTAAATCATGTTGGGTATGCTTCCCCCGTTTTGATGACTCCCCAATAAGTTGAACTTTGTGAGCTCTTCCTAAGTTGAGTCTGAGTACAAAGCTGAGATCAAACATTTTGTTGAAAAACTAGTCACGTAGCAGCTGTACTGTTCCTTTGCATGTGACAATTTTATTGGCTAAATGTGGATGTTAACATTTTGTGCTACTGCTATTGGACTCACCCCAGGTTCTTCACTCCATTGAAATAGCTGTTATGGTTTAATCAAAATCAAGTCAAATCGTGGTCTAAGAAACAAGTTTGACACTAGGCTAAGGAGAAGGGTTTCGGCATATAAACAATTCATGAAAAGGGCAGAATATTTGCGAATAATTGTAGACATAGGGTTCAAGAAGTTGGTATATTGCATTGTCTTTTACTTTTTAGCACTGGAAAAGGTAATTGTGATAGAATGGAAGGGACTACTCAGCCCATTGTATCTGTGCTAGATTTTGAATTAGCTCGATTCCTTTTCCAGGGATTGCTAATGAGTGAAATTTTTAGACGCATTGTTTTATATCTGTGATATTTCTTTGAAAAGTTCTGAGTAATTAAAATCAATGAGCTTCTTCAGCTGTGTATGAGGGAAATGACCAGGCTTGTCACATTCGTGAGATAGTTTCATAAACCATTTGTTGTAAATAATTAATGAAGCATCATTTAAAACAATGGTAACTTTTAATTTGATTGTACCAGGGATGGCAATCTCATTTTGTACTGAAAGCTAAGAGTTTTCCCAATTTCTGTCTCTCTTTAACACTGACCTAAGAGGTAGAATCTTGCTCTCGTAGCTGGATTAATATTCTTTGTGCTATTGCCCAAAGAGTCCATTCTTATCAGAAACTGCATGTGGTTTGGCTGGAATTTGGTATGACAATCAACTAAAAGGTAGAGGTCATGAATTTTGTATACCATTTTTGTATTCTGAAGCTTGTCATATTAACTGAGCTTTGAGTTTTCCTCTAGTTGTGTTAGTTCCCACATAAAGTGGTCTGTGAACTGAATATATCAGATACAACATGTTGCCTATATCATTGCTGAAATTGAATGCACCTTTTATTCATTGTAATAAAAACAAAATGGAAGAGGAATTAGTCAGATCTGTGGAAAGAGAAACAGAAATATTTTGCATCCAACACGACTTTTCTTCAGACATTTATGTTCAGTTTCTCCATCATTTTGTGATCTCCAATATCCTTGTATTTTTCTTTCATTCATAGTATTGTAATTTTTGATTTGCTTTGGTTAGGTGATAAACAACCAAGCATTCTGAAGTGGAGAATTCTATCTGCAACCAATGATCTGGATCGAGTAACAGCTGTGGGTTTACCTAAACTTCCAATTTCACTGACCAGCACCGACCTAAAGGTGGCGACAGACACCAAATTCTTCCCAGGACTTGGTTAGTGCTGTCCTTCACGTTAAATCCAAATGAAAATTTTGTTAATATTTTCCCAATTGTCCAATAAAATGTGGCATTATAAATCCTTGGTGTAGAACTTCTCAAGGACTTCATTCTCTGTTTAATAATGTTTGGTTATGTTATGGTGAGATTTAGAAATTGCTGAGCATAAACTAGTTGCTGAACAATAACTGCAGTAGCACACAATGGAAATCACTAAAGAGCAGCTATGATTGTAACTGAACAGAATGGCTTTCAGATCATCAAATCCCAGTCTGGTAGCTTAAGTAGAGTATGGTGTTTGAGTTACTGTATTTGATGGCGTACATTAGCATTGGAAATGGCTGCAGTCTATGGCTGCTTGTCATCTGTTTGCTGAAGTCCAATTCATATTGTTTTCAGGTCAGTTTGACTTTCCTTAGGAAGAGATTTACTGATGAAGAACAGTTGATCGAGTAAAACTTGACGATATACTGTATTGACAATGTCACTTTTGAAATTTATATTATAAAACTGATCATAGAATGGTTACAGCACAGAAGGAAGCAGTTCTGTCTAATTTGTTTGTGTTAGCTCTCTACAACAGCAACTCGCCTTGTTCCACTCATCTGCTTTCTTTCCCACAACCATGCAAATCATTACTCCACAGTGCTTATACACTTTTCCTTTTGAAAGTCCTAATTGTATCTGCCTCCATCATACGGTGTCTATTCTAGCTGCTAACCACTGGTTGCAGATTTTTTTTCTTATGGACATGCATGCAGACATACAACTTAGGAGCAAGAGTAGGTCACTTCAAAAGATTATGACTGATCTGATATTCCGCATTCCCGTCTATTCCTAATAACCTTTCATCCTTTGCTTATCAAGAATCCATCTACCTCTGTCAAAAAATATTCAAAGTCTATGCTTCCATTGTCTTTTGAGGAAGATTCACAATCCTCTGTGAGAAAATAATTCTCCTTCTCTCTGCCTTAAATAGGCAACCCCTGATTTTTTCAATAGTGATCACAAGAGGAACTATCCTTTGCACATGCACCCTATCAAGAACTCTCAGGACCTTGCATGTTTCAATTAAGTTGTCTCCTACTGTTTGAAACTCCAGCAGATGCAAGCTTACCTTGTCCAATATTTATTCACAGGAGAAGTCACCCATTGTATGGATTAGTCTGGTAAATCTCTGAACTGTAATAATGCTGTACACCATACTCTAGATGTACTCTACTTTTCTATTCAACTCATCTCACAATAAACAATTTCCTAATTACTTGTTATATTTTTGTTATCGGGGAGGCGATGACCTAGTGGTATTATGGCTGGACTCTTAACCCAGAGTCTCAGATAATGTTCTGGGGACCTGGATTCAAATCCCGCCACAGCAGATGGTAGAATTTGAATTCAATAAATATCTGGAATTAGAGTCTAATGCTGATCATGAATCAATTGTTGATTGCTGGGAAAAACCCATCTGGTTCACTAATGTCCTTTTAGGGAAGGAAACTGCCATCCTTACCCGATCTGGCCTAGATGTGACTCCAGACCCACAGCAATGTGGTTGATTCTTAATTGACCTCTGGACGATTAGGATTGGGCAATAAATGCCCTCATCCTGTGAATGAATAAAGAAAAAAAAAAAATGCATGCCAGCTTTTGGTGATTCATACAGTAGGATTTACAGATCCCTCTGTATCTCAAAGCTCTGCATTCTGTCACCATTTAGATAATATGATTTTTTTTCTTATTCTTCCTGCCAAAATGGACAATTTCACATTCTTTCAAACTCTACTGTATATCCTGGATCTTTGCCCACTCACTTAATCTATATTATCCCATTGTATCTACCTTATTTTCTTTTCACAACTTATTTTCCTATCTGTTCTTGTATTGTATAGTGTCACCATTGGTTCTTTTACTAATCACTTCAGACAATGACCTCTAGTTCTAAAGTCTTACGCCAATGGGAACAGTTCCTCACTCAATATTCTGTCTAAACCCATCATGATTTTCAGTACTTTTATGATGCAGCCTCTTTAACATCTCTAAGGGAAGACCTGCAGTCTCTCCAGTATATCCAGTTAACAGAAGTCTCTCATACCTTAAATCATTCTTGTAATGCAACAGGTTTATTTGAAATCTCAAGCTTTCAGAGCATGACAAAGGGGCTCTGAAAACCTGTGATTTCAAATAAACCTGTTGCACTATAACTTGGTGTCGTGTGATTTCTGACCTTGTCCATCCCAGTCCAACACTGGCACCTCCACATCATTCTTGCAAAAGTCTGGAACCTTTGTATCCTTCTTACTGTACCCAGAATCGATAACTAATGCCACTGTTGAAGCTGATGCAGTGTTTTAAAACAGTTCATCGTAGCTTCCTTGCTTTTGTACTCTGTCTTCATTTATATAGTCTAGGATTCTGTATGCCTTTGTTTCTTTCTTGGTCTACCTTCCAATCTTCAGTGATTGTCACAGTCATAGATTGGTGCATGCATACCCTCAACTGTCTCTGTTCTTGCACTTCTTTAAAATTTTGCCCTTTGTTTTATATTTCCTCTCTTTGTACTTTATATGAAAATGTGTCATTTGCCACACTACTCTGCATTAAGTTTTATTTCCCTCTTGTCCAACATTCCAACTGCCTATCTGTGACCTCTGAAGACTGTTACCAGCCTCATAGTTTAAGGTAATTCCAAGTTTTGTATGAATTTTTAAACTGTGTGCACATGCATTACATCCGGTAATTCGTATATATTAGTAAAGCAGTGATCCTAATGCTGATTCCAGGGAACTCTGTTATGTACCTCCCTCCAATCCAATAAAAAAACATACAACACTGCTGTACTTCCTATAGCTTGGCCATGTTTGTATCCATGTTGTCGCTGTCTACACTTACTTCATAAATTTCAATGGTGCAAGCTAATCAGTTATGTGCCACTTTTTCAAGACTTTGGAAGTCCAACAACTGCATTACCTTCTTCAACCATCTCTGTGAGGTCATGAAAAGATCACACATGCTTTCCTTTAACAAATCCATGCTGACTTTACCAATTAATCCATACTTGTCCACTGACTATTAACTTTATTCCATATTATTGTCTTTTGAATATTTCCCACCTCTAGGGTTTAACTCTGGGCCGTGATGGTTGGGTATATCCTTGGATATTTTTCAATTAATGTAACATTTGCAATTCTTCAGTCCTCGGCTACCATTCCTTATCCAGGAAGGATGGGAAGTTTGTGGACCAAAAGCAGAAATTGCTGGAGAAACTCAGAAGGTCTGGCAACATTTGTGGAGAGTATGCAAAGTTAATGTTTTGAATCCAGTGACCCTTCTTGATAGTAGCTAGGCAATGTAGGTTTATAGCTGAAGGGGGAAGGAGTGAGCAGTAGGTGGAGATGAGTTGGGCAAACAAAGCGACAGATGATAGTATGCCAGAGAGAAAGAAAAGCTGAAAATAGAAACCTTTTTAAGTAGCTTTGCTGAAAGTAATCCCTGTCATGACAGGGTCTGTATTGTGGGAGTGGGTAAAGGACATGGAAGAACGCGTTCAGGTTCTAAAACTGTTGAACTCTTTACTGAACCTAGAAGTCTGCAGAATTCCCAAGTGGAAACTCGGGGTCATTTTTGTGGACAGGGCAAGGGATTTCCATAGAGTGGTCGACCAGTCTGCATTTTGCCTCCACAGTGTAGAGGAGACCATATTATGAGCAGTGAATACAGTAGACTAGAGAGAGTAGAAGAATATGACTTGTGCCACCTCAATTTCCACCCTAATTTGTCTCAGCAACCTTGCATTCCATTTGGTCAAGGTGATTTATCAATTTTAAAGTACAGCCAATCTTTCTAATGCCTTATCATTTCTGCCCATCTAACATCTAACTACATTTTCCTTCAGTATGATTCTGACAGCATCTTCATCCTAGATAAAGACAAATTCAAAACACTAATGTTGGTACCTCAGCTTTGCCCTCTACCTCTATCTACATCTGTTTTTTTTTCCTTCTTTGGCTTCACCACAAAGACCTATTATATGTAAGTGCTTACAGAAAATGTTTGGATTCCATTTTATGTTAGTTATGCCATTGTCATTGGGTAAATCACATTTGTTCACATGCCTGACACAAGACTTCGAAAACAGTCTATCTGCTCCCTGAAAATGTGTAATGTCCCTATAGACTTGTTGGAATTTCTAGCCCAACACTGCCTAAACTGGAGAAGAAGCATTCACAAAGGTGCTAGTCATCTTGAGCATCTCTGACAGGTCCAGCTGGTGGCCAAGCGAAGCAGTAGAAACAATGTGCAAAATCCCAAGCCACCTGCCTGCCTGTTCAAGCACCACCTGCGCCACTTCTGGCAGGGTATAAAGATCTAGGAATGGACTATTTAGTCATCTTGGGACCAAAAACTCTGGAGTGCAAGTAAATCATACTTTGTCTGAAGGGACTGCCTAAGAAGATGGAGTTATGCCAGTGGTTCTCTCTCGCTCTCTCTCTGCCTCACATATTTGCTTTTTTGCTTCCCCTCTGAACTTCCAATTTTCAGCCTGATCATCTTTATATTATCGATCTGACATCTGTCATTCTCATCAGTCAGGGAGTTCTGACTTTTGTTGCATTACATTATCTGAGTCCATAGTGGGAATGTACCTTATAGGTACCAGTTGTGACTGCCAATCTTTGACTGCAATTTACCTTGGGCAGATTCATTTTCATCCCAATTAAAATGGACATCTTCTATTTTAGTATGTTTTTTTTCGACTTCAGTTTGCTACTTATCCTTTTCTGTGGTTAACCTAAACTTTACACCATGATCATAGTTGTCTGCAAGTTCCTCAACTGACATTTGACCTCTCGCACATTCTCCAGAACCAGATCCAGTAAGACCTCTTTCCTCATTCAGGTAGAAAATTCTCCTTCAGCTTTAAAACTCTATCCCCTCTGTGTTCTTTAAACTATTCCTATCCTAGACTATAATAGGTTAATTGATGCCTCACAGTATGATTACTTTAATTTCAGCATCTCTCTGCAGTATCCTTGCAAAGTTGCTGTTCTATATTTCTCCCAGTAGCTGATGGTCTATAGAAAATAATCAAAAGTGTATGGTACCTTTATTGTTTGTCTAACCAAATAGATCCTGTTCTTGATCTCTTCAGGGTGTCTCTTCTCTACAGCACTGTAATTTTCTCCATAATCATTATAACCACCTAATTTCCTTCCTTTATTTCCTTGTGTTTTCTGAACACAGTGTATTCTGACAGTTTTCGAGCTGGGTCTTCATTATCATCACAACATCATGTGGCTATTTTTGCCTGCAACTCACCAATCTTACTCGCCACACTTTGAGTCATAGAGCTCTACAGCATGGAGACAGACCCTTTGGTCCAGCTCGTCCATGCCAACCAGATATCCTAAATAATTCTAGTCCCATTTGCCAGCATTTGGCCCATATCCCTGTAAACCCGTCCAAATGCCTTTTAAATGCTGTAATTGTACCTGATTCTACCACTTCCTCTGGAAGCTCATTCCATACATGCATCACCCTCTGCATGAAAAAGTTGCCCCTTAGGTCACTTTTAAATCTTTTCTCTCTCTCACCTTAATCCTATGCCTTCTAGTTTTGGACACCCCCATCCCGGGGAAAAGACCTTGGCCATTCACCCTATCCACTGTGCATACATGCACTGTAAACCTAATTTAAACCCTTTGCCTATACCTGTTGGTTTGAGACAACCAAATACTGAAGTCTTAAATTTCTCCAGGTCATGACACTTATTGCACTTATTGTTGTTAAGAACTTAAAGTTTCCTGGACTTCCCACATTGAACTAGATGTGCACTCCGTCAGGTTGTGGTGAACCTGCTCTATTTAATAGACTATCAAAACTTAACAGAAATTATGAAAGACTTGCCAAAAATGGGTTTATCTCTTATTATATTCTTTATAACTGTGCTATTTTCATCAGGTAGTTGTTTGTTGAACAAGTATGTGATAGCTTTTTGTTCCATACATTGACTTAAATATCCTATACTAATGATAACCAATGATAATCTCTGGGCTGCAGGAGTATATTGTGTCTGATGTAGACAACACTTTTGTACTAACTTCTAAACCTTTGTTTTCTTATGTTTAGGACTTGCATTAGCATTCCATGACGGAACTATTCACATTGTTCACAGGCTTTCACTACAAACAATGGGAGTTTTCTATAGCACTCCCTCTCAGCGACCAACAGATGACCAAGCTATTAAACGACAGCGTACAACTGCATCTTCTGTACACTTCAAAGCATTACAGTTGTCCTGGACTTCATTGGCACTGGTAGGAATAGACAATCATGGAAAGGTGAGAACAAAGTCAGATTAATTAAAAAGTACATTTAGAAAAAATTAGCAAAATTAGGCAGTCATTTCAAATTTTGAAAATGCATTCTTGCAGAAAAATGCTATGCACTGCAGAAACATTTTCCCACTCACCACACCTTTCCTATTTGTGGACTACTTAAGTGAATTTGCATTTTATTTTCCAATGACTTGCAGTCTTTCTCATGGAGCTGGACTGGTTGGATTAATCTTGAATCAGTGACACTGAGTGTTAATACGTGTCCCAGCTCCCCAACTCTTACTTAGTGGCAATAGTATAAGGAAATTGTAAGCATATTATAAGAAAAAGCTACTTAACCAACTTTTGGAAAGTTCTTCATGGTTTGAAAGTTGATTTATTTTTGATAAAATTATAGAAATAAACTGTGAAAGAGTCAATTCTGCTCTTGTGTGTGAATTTTTAGAGGAATTACTACAGTATTCACAATGAAATTTTACATTGTCCTTTTCCTTAAAATTTTGAAGGCTGGCTTGATATCTTGTTCCCTCACAGTTAAGTATGCTGAGGATCTCACCTTCAATGGGTCACACATTAGATATGAACACATCACTGCGTCACCTGCTTTTTCTACTGGAGTACTGCATGGTGACTGGTTACGATTGGTGGGACATTCTTTTGCACGTGCAGCCTAACATGGTGCAAAACCTAGTGGAGAAATTACATGAGGAATATACACGCCAGAATCAGGCTTTGCAACAGGTAAAAGATAAACGGAGTGTCACGTTGTGCCTGTTACATAACGTGTCTGTATGTAATACTCACTTGTTTTTGGATTAACCACTTTCACTGATTATTAAACCTCTATATACAAACAAAAGCCTAGCTAAACCCTATCTTACCGACAAAATGTGAGCTCAGGGAACACAGCCCTCAACTTGGAGAGTGATGAAGGCATGGAATTGAGGTCAGGTTTGGCAATTCTGCAACTTTCTGCAGCACTGATAAATCAGTTCATTTAGTCAGTTTAGTATCTTCTAAATTGTGTTGGTTAAGAGTCCGTTCACTAAATCAGAAGACTTTTGCTACGGGAGTCAGTTAGGAAAATGCTATTTATGGCTTCAGATATTTGAAACTGTGCTTTTTATCATTGGTACTCATTATATTTTCACAGCTGAGTACTTAACATATAACCTAATCCTTAATTACATAATCACAGCATGTTACAACAGAAAAACGAGATCATATGGCCTGACATAGCCTTGCAGATTATTGAAACTTATCCAGTTGAGTTCATATTGAAAAACAAAAAGAAACAAATTTATCCACTTCCTTTTTAAAAAGGATTTCTCTGTGTGATGGGGCCCATTCTAGTTTTGACAACATTTTGAAGTGGACTACGTATATAGATATATATTTCATGTAACAATTTTAGAATGTTATAAAAACATATCTGGCTTACATGTAGTTACAGATCTGCAGCAATGTGGTTCACTGTTACCTGCCCTCTGAAATGGCTTGAGGGCCAATCCATTCATCTCCAGTTATGATGGACAACAAATACTGTTCACATCCTGTATAAGAATAAAGAAAAAAATTAGCAGTGTAGAATTTTTGTACATTTTCGTATCCTTGCTTGTTCACTTCCTCAGTTTTTCTTAAAACTATTCAAAAATATAGCCCTTTGAGTAGGCATCTTCAAGTGTAATATTTGGCTTGGTGGTGGCACATGTGCTTAAATTTGGCTTCCACTGGAATGATTTGAGCGCATGGGTGGCACGATGACTTAATGGTTAGCACTGCTGCCTCACAGTGCCAGGGATCTGGGTTTGATTCCAGTCTTGGGTGACTGTCTGTATAGAGTTTGCACATTCTCCCCATTTCTATGTGGGTTTCTACCAAGTGCTCCCGTTTCCTCCCACAGCCCAAAGATGTGCATGTTAGGTGGATTGGCCATGATAAATTGCCCCATAGTGTCCAGGAATATGCAGGAAAAGGGGATAGAGGGACTGGGTCTGGGTGGGATGCTATTTGGAGGGTCGGTGCAGACTTGATGGGCGAAAAGGCGTCTTTCCACACAGTAGGGATTCTACATAATCTAGGCACTTCTGTTCCATGTTAAGGGTGTGCTGCTTTGTTGAAGGTACTGCCTTGGAGTTAAAGAATGAAACCGATCATCACCACCACCGACACGAAAAACAAATGTCACCACCTGTTTTCTCAAATATAAGCCTATATAACACTTCAATAAGGAACAAAGGAGTACTCCTGGTGTCCAAGCTGACATATATTCCACAATTCACACTTAAAACAAATTTCTGAACCAACATACAAATATCTGAGATAGTAGGAACTGCAGATGCTGGAGAATCTGAGATAGCAAGGTGTAGAGCTGGATGAACACAACAGGCCAAGCAGCATCGGAGGATCAGGAAGGCTGACGTTTCGGGCCTAGACCCTTCATCAGAAAATATCTGAACTATGACCAGGAAATGCTGGAAATACTCAGACCTAGCAACATCTGTGGGGAGGGAAAGAGTTAACATTTCAGGCCAATGATTTTCTTCAGAATGGGATTTTTAAAAAGTAAGTAAAATGTAAGGAGGTAGGAAAAGATAGGATGGAAGACAGAAGAGATTAAATGACAAAAGCGTCATGGTGCAAGAAAAATAGTGGCAATGGAACAAATAAAGAAAAAAATTCTTTCTAGAGAAAAATCAAAATCATCGTCTAACAAAGCAAAAGGAAACAAAATCAGTCAGAAGTTTTGATCTAAAACTGCTACACATGATACTGAGTTTGGTAGGCTATCAAATTCCATGTGGCAGACACAGCTGAGGTATTGTTCCTTGAGCTTGCATTGAACTCCAGTGCAAGGAGGTTTAGGACAATAAAGTCAGAGGGTGAACAAGATGGAGAACTAAATTGCAGGAGATCAGAAACTGAGAAGAACTAGAGGTGGAACAGAGATGTGACACAAAGCAATCATTCCATCTGTGTTTTAGTGACCCCAAGGTAGTGGAGACTGCATTGTGAGCAATAAGTACAGTATATTAAAATGGATGTAGAGTTAAATCATTGTTTCACCTGGAAGGAGCATGCCAGGCCTTTGAGGAAACCCCTGTCATGATTCTTGGAGGAAGGGAAAGGGATGAGAACAGAAATGGAGTGGATGTGGTCCAGGGGCCTGACAGCTAAGCTTGGGCCTAATCTTCATTTATCAGCCTCAAATCTTGACAGATCATTCACCTTTCACCACCAGTGTGAAGTCACCATAAAGACCTCTTTCAGTTGTATTCCAAAGGGACTGTTCCCTCCTCAATATCCTGATTCATTCCTCAATGTTCCTGACTTTCTGCCTGCACCTTTCGTGATAGTGCAGGAAATGTGATATGAGTCCTTTTATTTCCTTGTGGTCTAAGGCCTTAAAGCTTCCTAGCAAGTAGAACAGTGATTTTATTTGTTATTTCTAAATCTAGTATACTGAATTGCTGAATGATGATATGATCTCCTGTACATTTGGAGACCAAACACAGATTGAACGTGCAACTTCAAAAGCTCTTCTATTCAATCTGCAAGTGTGATTCAAATATCTAGTCACCTGGCATTTTAATTCTCCACCATGGCTCCCACTCTGACTACTTGTCCTTGGGCTCCTGCAGTGTTCCAGTGAAACTCAACATAAATGTAGAACAACGTCTCATCTTTTTATGAAGTACTCTACAGCTTTCTGGATTGAAACGTGAGTTCAGAAATTTTAGGTCATATCCTCAGCTACCACAATGGTTCCATTTTCTTTGGTATTGTTTTTTCCTCATTGTCATTTAATCTTTTTTTGTCACATAGAACTGGTGTCACAAACCTTCTCTATTGTACATTTTCCCATCCTACCCTTTATCACTTGCTCAAAACCAGTGACATCTGTAGGTTGTCCTGCATTGTTAGCATTGTTTCTCTCTCATGGATGCTACCAGAACATTTCCAGCATTTTTGCTTTTACACCTACAACTGGTTTTGTGTTTTTTCTTTAATTCATTTGCTGTTTGTGTTTTTATAAAAATGTTCTTTCATGGATATGGCATCCCAACCAAGGCCAGCATTTATTGCCCATTCTTAATTGGCCTGAAATGAGTTGTTTTCTAGGCAAGAGTTATTCATATTCCTCTGTTTCTGGAGTAGTGTGCAGCACAGACCATGTTAAGGATATCAGATTTCCTCCATTAAAGGATGTTAGTAAAGCAGATGGGTATTTATGACAATCGATAATATTTTGATCATCATTATTGAAGCTAGCTTTCAATTCTGGATTTTATTGATTCCAAATCACACTAGCTGCTATGATCGGATTTGAATGTGTGTCCTCTGAACGTTAACCTGGGCTGCTGATTTCCAGCTCAGGATTTGCCACAATGTCACCATCTCCCCTTGAAAATTTACTGTCTTGTTTCCACCATTACAGCAATGACTGTATTTCAGAAGTGCTAAAATAGCTGCATAGCATTTGAGATGAGATTGTTAAAGTATTCCATAATTACAGCTTAGTTTTTCTGGAGTTCATAGCTTAAAAAAGTACTTGGCTGCTTCAAGAAATTAATATCTGCTAGCTTTTGATGCTTTTTTTTAGCGTATCTGATTAGTGTCAATGTTAGACTTAGAGTACAGCTGCATTGTGATAGCTGAAGATTACATTTTGCATATGATATAACATTCCATCTATAGGCCAGAGTCGTCCAACGTTCCTTGAGTGATATCTTGGGATAGCAATGAGCTTTGCTCAGTTTGTTAAAATATTCCTTCCTTGGAAACTTTGGAGCACTCTTTCTGTGCACACATTTAAGTTGTTTTGTTTGCTTTGATTTAAGGTTCTGTCTACTCGAATTATTGCCATGAAAGCATCTTTGTGTAAGCTGTCAACAAACACATTGGCAAGAGCCTGTGACTTCCATGCAAAGCTGTTGTTGATTGCAATTGGTTCCACACTTAAATCACTCCTTCGACCACACCTGCTCAACACACCAGACAAGAGCCCTGGAGAACGATTGACTGAAATCTGCTGTAAAAATACTGACACTGGTATGTGCCTGATTTGTGTATGTAGGCCAAGTGATGGAAATGTAAGCCTTCTGATTCTCCAGTTTAGATACTGCTGCTAATATTTGCAGGTTTCAGTTATAAATTAAAGATGTTTTTAAAGGCAAGAGAAGCTGTAGTAAAATTCTGACTTTCATTGTTCTAGCTGTTTATTTTTAAATGCAGTTGCCCCCTTTCTTCCAAACCCAAGGCAAATACACATGGAGCTTGGATCATTGCTTTAAGTTTTGTTCATCTTTAAAGTCGTTGAATTAGTTAACTAATTTCTACATCTTAAGATAAAGTTGGACGGTTTATAGATAAATTTAGAACTGCACTGTCACAGCCCCAGGACATCACAGCTGATGTTCATCAGAGTAATGTTCAGGTCCAACGATGTTCAGCTACATTGTCAGTGAATGACCTTTCCTCCATCATAAAGTCATAAGTGGGAATATTTAATGATGATGGCTCGATGTTCAGAACTATTCACAATTCCTCATACTGAAACAGCCCATGTCCATATGCAGTAAAACCTGGTCAACATTCAGGCTTGGGCTGATAAGTGATACTAATGTGGGCAATGACCATCTCCACCAAAAGAAAATCTAATTGCTTCCCATTGACATTCAGTGGCCTTACCATTGTTGAATTGTGCAGTTTACTACTGACCAGAAATTGAACTGGAATAGCCATATAAATACTGTGGTTACAAGAGCAGGTCAGAGCCAAGGAATTCTGCAAAGAGTAACTTGTCTCCTGTTTCCCCACTGCGAGGCACAATTTGGGAGTGTGATGGAATACTGATCACTTCCCAAATCGATTCAACAACGCTCAAGAAACTTGACGCCATCCAGGATAAAGCAGCCCATTTACTCCATTCACCATAAATATTTCCTGCACCACTGGCACACAGGATTGTATTGTGTACGAGAGACAAGATACACTGCAACAGCTCACCAAGTCTGTTTAACATCTTCCAAACTCATGACTCCTCCTCCTTAGAAGGACAAGGGCAGTGAACTCCTGGAGAGCTTAGGTGGGTTATAGGGGATGGGTCTGGGTGGGATGCTCCAAGGGTCGGTGTGGACTTGTTGGGCTGAAGGGCCTGTTTCCACACTGTAGGGATTCTGTGATTCTATGATTGTATCATTTCTCTCTTTGTTTTGTTGCAGTTAGGGTACATTTCAAAAAACTTACAAGCTTTGAAACTACAGTTTCTATCACAAAATACAAGCTAAGATAAAGGTGCACTTGCAATTCACATAATAAACAACATAATTACTATTTTCTCTGCTTAAAGTGTACTAACAAGCATCTCTTGTTGACTGCCTCAATCCTACGTGAAGCAGTTTACCTAAAAGCAAAGTAATGACTGCATCTGTCTGTTCCCAAATTTATCTATGACAACGCATCTTTATAATGACTTAGCATGCGTTTGGATTTTCTCAAACAAAAATGTGAATGAATTATTTTACTTTCAGTGCTACTCTTCTATTCTGTAATCCATGTGAATAATTTATATTTGTACTGCAGTTTCACAACCCTTTCTTCAGACCCCCTAGGTCAACCATGAAACTCTGTGTTTACAAAGCTGCTTTCAGCTTTCTTTTGTTTGTAGACTATAGATATATTTATGGCAGAGCTTTAGGAAATGTAGAGTCACATGAGTAGCAAGATGGATAGAAAACTAGTTACAGAAGAAAAGCAGAGCAAGGGTTACGGGTAGTTACTCAATTTGTCAAATAGTTAGTATTAATAATCAATGATTGTTTAATCACTGTTCATCTTTTGCATTAACAGTTTGGACTTGAAGTACAAGTTCAGATTTATGGATGACTCTAAGTTGCGATTTAGTTAATGTGGAGGAAAACTGCAACAAACATAAATGCAAGGTAATAGATTTTGGTAGGAAGAATAAGGAGGGTGCATACTCTTTGGAGAACAATGTCTAACTGGGGTCAAGCAATCCTGTTAAGGTAAGGGAGAAACTATTTTATGTCATCACGTACAATGGAGAAGAGGTCAACATGCCAGATATCTCAAAGCATTCAATATTGAGTCAAGGTCAGGAGCTTGTATAAATTTGCATAAGAAAAACAACAATGAAGAGGAAAATAGCAACAAAGAGTGGCGGAGCCCCCAACCAAATGATTTCCATAGAAAGTCATAATCCTAATTTGCTGGTGACAGAAATAGAGGTAGAAGCGTATTAGAGTCATAGTCATAGAGATTTACAGCACAGACACAGACCCTTCGGTCCAATTCGCCCATGCCGACCAGATATCCTAAGTATATGTAGTCCCGTTTGCCAGCATTTGGCCCATATCTCTCTCAACCTTTCCTATTCATATACAACATTTAAAAGGCATCTGGATGCGTAAGTGTACCAGGCTCCACCACTTCCTCTGGCAGTTGATTCCATACATGCACCACCCTCTTTGTGGAAAAAGTTGCCCCTTAGATCCCTTTAAATCTTTCCCCTCTGACCTTAAACCTATGCCCTCTAGTTTTGGACTCCCCCACCCCGGAGAAAAAACTTTTGCCTATTTACCCTATCCGTGCCCCTCGTGATTTCATAAACCTCTATACTAGAAACAAAAAGTATGATTAATGTTTCTATTCTTTAAGTGACCAGTTGTTTAAAGGATCTAACTGATACATTCGTTTCAGATATTGATAAAGTTATGATAAACCTGAAAACTGAAGAGTTTGTCCTGGATGCTTGGGTGTTACAGTCACTTCAGCAGCTCATACAGTGGGTTGGAGACTTCGTGCTATACCTTCTGGCTAGTTTGCCAAATCAAGTGAGTATAGCCCGAATATAGAGTGGTATACTTAAATATTTCTGTCAAAATAGAATTCATCACAAGAAAGAGATCAAAACTTTTCAGAATGTTTCCCAAAGATTAAAGGCTGCATCACCAATAATTTTGCAGAAGTTAACTGAGCAAGATGTTTACTCTCTCAATTCGAGAGTTTCATTGTCTGAAAGTGAAACCGTTCCTCCAATTAGGAACCACGACAGAGGCTAACTGATGATGTGTTATTTTGCTACTTGTAAACATTATTTTGTAATGGTGCTGCATTACTTTACTGATTTTAATGCCAATTTATTCCAAATTTTGTGCCTATTTTGTTTATAAAAATGTCATTTCTATTCTTTGTCATAGCAAGTCCATTGAAAAAGATATCTATTGCCTTTTTAAAATTTGGTTTGATCATCCATTAGATGAATATTGGATCAAAACCACATGAAAAAGATTGAGGAGCACTTATAGCTTGTTAAAATAGGCAGCTTGTGTTGCTTACCCTTTGCAGCATATTTTTAGTTCCTGTGATTTTTTTTTAAAATGGTGTTTTAGATGAGAATTCAATATTTGCGTGCCTAAACAATATGCACGGCATGCCTACAAATAACCGATGACAGATGTGGGGTTTACACAAAAAGTTTACAATTGGGCTACCCAAACCATTATGTCCTAGGCATGAAACTTGAGAAATGCTGATCAGTGTAGAAATATTTCTTGAACATTGAGAAATATGACATTTCCGTTCCATTATTAGGTATTCTAATATTCAGAGATAGCAAGAACTGCAGATGCTGGAGTCAGAGACAACACAGTGTGGAGCCAGAGGAACAATTCTGATAAAGGGTCCCAACCCAAAATGTTGACTTTCCTGTTCCTCTGATGCTGCCTGACCTGCTGTGTTCCTCCAGCTCCACATTGTGCGGTAATATTAATGTAGAAGGCAAAAGTATGGAGAGCAAGTAGTAAGATATCAGTGGTAGTTAGATTGAACAATTATGTTGACCTGCTGTAGCATTACTATATTTACTTAATCAGAAAGAAATCTGTCAGTTTTTCCTCCTTTTCCCCCCTTCCCCCTTATTCCAGCAATTACATGACTGAGGAGAGTGAGTTTACATAGAACGTACAACACAACTTAACCTTTGTTGAAAATTATGCTACATGTGACCTTCTTCCTAACCTTATTTATGTATCCTCCTGTTTTCTTCTGATTTGTAAGTACATCTATGGCATTTATCTCAACTACATTTGTGAATGTAAAGGAGGCTGATCATGCCTGAATATGTTGGATTTGATGCACCGTTTGGTATATTCCTCTCTTCCTTTTCAAATTAATGTATATCTTATTCAAACTACTCTCACTTGATCTGCATCTAGTATTAACTGCTTTTTGGTTCATCAATTTTAACAGTTGCCAGGTGCTATTTAATCTGATTTTAAAAAAAAAAATCCCAAAAGGCCTGTGGATGTTGAAAATCAGAAACAAAAACACAAATTGCTGGAAAAATTCAGCAGGTCTGGTAGCATCTGTGGAGAGAAATCAGTTAACGTTTTGGGCACAGTGACCCCTCTTCAGAACCGTTCCGAAGGGTCACTGGACCCAAAACGTTAACTCTGATTTCTCCACAGATGCTGCCAAACCTACTGAGTTTTTCCAGCAACTTCTGTTGTTGCTATTTAATCAGATCTCTCTTTTGAGCTATTCCAGTGACCTCAACAATAGAGGACACATGCAGTCTTTCAAAAACCCTGCTATTGATTAAGAATGAAAATTTCCCAGATCTTAGTATCCTGAGGGTCAGGAGGTTCCCCAGCTGTTGCTGGGCTTGTCTGAAATCATAGTTCACTGTAACAGAATGGAATAGATTCTGAGGTGAAAATAGTTACTTCCCATATAGTGATATCTGCGCAGCACAGCAGGGAAGGGAGTAATACAAAAAGATGATCAAGGCAGAGTTAGCTCTACGCGACAAAAATAACAACAAAATAACTGTGAAGAATATCTTTTGAAAAACGGTCCTTCCTCCATACTTTGCCTTTTCATACCAGTGTGTGCGTTAGTGTCTTACTGGTGTCTCAATCTGTATTTTCAGGGTTCTCCAGTTCGGCCAGGGTTTAGTTTCCTCCGAGATGGCACCTCGCTTGGAATGCTCAGAGAACTAATGGTGGTGATCCGAATATGGGGTCTCCTTAAGCCTGGTTGTCTGCCAATATATACTGCTACATCTGACACCCAAGACAGCATGTCACTGCTCTTCCGACTGCTCACTAAACTCTGGCTCTGCTGTAAGTTCAAAGCATGTATCTGGCTTCCTCAGCCAGGTTTATTTGTTTGTTTCTAACTGGGGTAGAGGCAAATTACGTATGTTATTTAGATAAGATTGGGTTGGGGTAGATGGTAATCACCTGTAAACATTAGATCAAAGTCACCCTACGTGTTCCAATAAAATTAGTATTTGAAAGTGAAGGAGGCAGAAAACAGGAAGCAGTTTGCTTGATTTGTCATGTGGGATATGTTTGAATTGATCATTAAGGAGGTTTGGGCACTTGGAAGAACTCAAGGTAATGAGGAAATGTCAGGATGGTTTTGTGAAAATGAAATTGTGTTTAACCAATTTATTAGAATTCTTCAAAGGCATAGCATTCACTGCAGATAAAGTAGAGATGTTGACATACTGTACTTTGATTTCCAGAAGGTGTTTGACAAGGTTCCACATATGAGGTTATTGTGCCAATCAGAAGCTCATGATGTGGAGGGTAATATAGTAGCATGAAAAGAAGATTGACTGGCTGGTAGAAAACAGTTTGTTTTAAATGGTTCTTTCTCAGTTTGGCAGGATGTGATTTTCACAATTTATATGAATGATTTAGATGAATGTATCAAAGACTTGGTAACTAAATATGTAGATGATACAAGAAACATAGAAAAGCACCTTGAAGTTGATATAACAAGAATGCAGACCACTACAGACAGATTAAGTGAGTAGGCAAAAATCTGGCAAATTGGGAAAATGTGAAGTTGCTTTCTTTTGACAAGAACAAAAATACAGTATTGTTAAAATGGTGAATGACAGCAGCATTCCAAGGTGCAGGAGATAGGTCTTCTAACGCAGATCAAAGTTAGTATAGAGGTACAGTAAATGATTAAGAAGGGTAATAGAATGTTATACTTTATCACAAAAGGAATTAAGCTTAAAAGTAGGGGTGTTATGCTTCAGTTATACAGGGTTTTAGGGAGATCATATATCAAATACTATGTGTAGTTTTGACGTCCTCCTGTAAGGAAGGATTTAAATGCGTTGTAGGGTGGCGGTTCAGTTAAGTTTTACTCATTTGATACCTGGAATAAGTAGGTAGTCTTATGAAGCAATATTGAATTGCCTAAGTTTGATTTCTTTGAAGTTTAGAAGATGGAGGGAGGAATGATTTGGTTTAGGTTTATAACGTCCTGAACTATCTTGATGCGATGGATGTGGAAAAGCTGTTTATTCTTGCAGAGCAGGTTTGATAAGATCATGACTGATCTGTTTGTGGTTTGAATTCCACTTTCCCATCCATCCCAGTAACCTTAGATTTATTCTCCTAATAAGAATCTATCCACCTCAGTCTTTAAAATATTCAATAACCCTGCCTCCTCCACCTTCTGAGCTGAAGGCAAGGTCAAACATAATTGTTAAGATGAAAGTAGGTTGAGTCGCTTGCCCAAGAAGAATCTGATGTTATCAGGCTTAGATGGGAATGTAGACTTTGGAAACAAACAGATCAGCCATGACCTTATTGAATGGTAGAGCAGCCTTGAAGAACCAAGTGGTCATCTTTAGTTTGTGTGTTAGTGCATAAAGCAAGACAATCCAATTCAGAAAATCTGTGTCTGCCACTTTAATCCAAAACACTATTGAATCATTTTGATTGGCTACTTAAGGACTGGCTCAATGTATTCAATTGCATTATGTCCTTTAATACTAGTTTCAGAATGTGTTTTGCTGGATTTGTTTAAAGTTTGCTATAAAAATTACTGAACTTCAGTTTAATTTTCCAAATAAGTAAACCTGAACTTTTTTTTTTCAAACTTATGGATGTTCATACACTCCTTACCTGATACGAAATGACAAACTAATTGTGGTATATTGTTTCCCCAAGAGGATATTAATTTACTGTTCTGACTGTAGAAATAATTGAGTCTGTAACACAATACTGAAATAAGATCTAGCATTCAAAAATAAAGCACTATGTCAGTATGAGGTCTGAGATTAGCTTTACCTTTTATTGATTGGTTTGTGAAATATTCTCCGCAGATAACTTAAAACAACAGTTCTGACGTTTGAATGATAGTGATTTGATATGATACTTTGGCATTGCATGTCCTTAGCTTGATTCCTGCTCAGACTAAAATAATAGGCTGATAAGGGTGCTACTATGTGAGCTGGATCTGTGTATCTCATGAAAATGGACTCATAGTACAAGAGAGCGCACAGGATTTTGATAAGAGTCAAAGAAAAAAATAACAGTTTCTGAAAAATGGTCGTCTGAAATTGAAGTGAAGTTGCATTGTTGGGATATAGTTAGAAGCATCTAGCCATAAATCTAAGTCTGAAATTTTTTTAAAACACAAATTAATTAATTTGGAGCTTTGATTCACCACGTTTTGAAACTTCAAGACTAGAACTCGGCAAATTTAAATTGAACGTAAGAAATAGAAGCAGGACTAGGGCATTCATCTCCTCAAGCCTGTCCTATCATTCTATAAGATAACAGCTGTTACTCTAGGCCTCCACTCCTCTATTTCAATACTTTGTGATCTAGCTTCCACAACTCTGGGGTAGAGAATTCCAGACATTTAGTATCATCTGACAAATAAATTCCTTTGCATTTCAGTTTTAAATAAATGACCCATTATTTTGTGACTGTCCCCTAGTTTGTGATTTCCCCCACTAATGGAAACAAACATTTGGAATGGATATGTGCAGGGGGCACATACACAGACTCGCTGACCTAACATGTGAAGGAATAGAAATGGTAATCAATAATACAAATTCTTGCTAACTTTGTTTATTATGGAGCTCTGTATTTTTGTAGCCATAAAGGAAAATTCTCATGTCTGGTAGCTTATGTTGTCTTCTTGCCAATAGGCTATTGTTTTGGAGCTGAAAGATGCTTTTCAATGGGTGCACTAGTTAATGTCCACTCTTTTGTCAAGGACAGAGTATAATTGAGTTGAAACATTACTGGGACTGCAGTAGCTAAGATTAAAGTCTGCCTAATTGGTGGAAGGTGAATAGCTACCCAGAAGGAAAAAATAATATTTCCTTCATCTTCGTAAAAGTTTCCTTTTTTAATGATGACTCTCTGTACTTAGCTTTTAATATTATGTAATATTGTAAACTTTGAATGCACAAAAGTCCTAATTAGCAGTTTAATAAATAAAATAAAGTTGCTTTTTATAAAGTCTAACGCTTCTCACAATACTTTTTTCAGGTAGAGATGAAAATCATACAACTGAACCTGATGACAATCTTATAGATGAATGTTGTCTGCTTCCCAGCCAACTGCTTGTTCCCAGCATGGACTGGTTACCAGTGAATGACGGAATTATTGGCAAATTACAGAGTAAACAGCTGTTAAAACTGCAGTTTGGGAAACCAATCAGTGTACCCAGTCACTTTGCAACCTCTCAGCTTGATATTTTTGCGAGGTAATTTTCCTATCTTGCTTTTTAATGCTCACCTGGCTTTTCTTATCATGCTGAGCTTGCCTTAATACCATAATGAATGGTTTTGCAAGCTTCTGTATTAATGTCTAAATGCACTAAATAATGTTGAAGAAATTTATTTGAAAACAAACTTTCTGTTGATAAATGATTTTTTATTCACCTGCTGTCATACATGATGATTTAGCAACTGCCTCAGCCAAATATTGGGCTGTCTGCAGAGAATCCGAAGTAGCATTGATGATCAACAAGACCTTCGCATTGTAAACGTTTTCTTTGATTAATATTGTTATTGAAGTTTGGAAATAAGCTTCTCCTAGGATGCTTGGTTGAGATTCCAGAATGAAATCTTGCACTCCTTATATGTGCTCAGTCCAAATTCTTGGCATGACGAGGAAGATGGAGGATACTTAAATCTGTTCAATAACTGAACCTTCCTTTGCTGCAGTTGTAGATCTGTGCCCAGGCTGGTGGGAAGCCATCTTTAGTAAACTCCATGTGGATAAATACAATCCTGTTCAGAATAAACACTGAATCATTTCCACTGATCAGCCCAAGCAAAATGTTGAAGCACCATAACGGGTTTAAACTTTGTTTTCCCAATAAATTGCAATGCATGTAAATAAACCCCACTGTATCACTGTGTCGTAAGTATTCCTTGTGACAATACTTAATATGCTTTCAACTTCATGTTACATGCAGATCACCAGGGTATCAGAAAATGGACAACTTAAGGAGACTTAATTTAGGAGTATGTCCAACAGAAGAAACCAAATCCTGTACTAGGTAAGCAGCAAATAAATTAAAAGGCAATTTATGTAGGATTTTAATTTGTTTACCTGTACAACTGAGCGCCTGCTTAATGTATGCACCAGTGATGGTTTTTCATAGATCCAGCTGCTTCATTTGTCAGAATTCTTTCTTATGATGGTTACTATACATTAAAATGAAGTATAATTATTAAGTCAAGTTGCCCACAAGATCTCCCCACATTGCTCTGACTGTGAATCTGTCTATTTAATATGCTTCCTGTATATGGCATCAGTTTGGTGATGACTCTTAGCTTAACTACAATATTTGCAGGTGATGCCAATGCAGCAAAAGTACTGTCCATTTGTGTGAAATGTGTTTGACTTGGAGTTTGATGTCTCAGGGTTAGAATGGGATGACTGAAGCCTTTTTCCTTTCAAACAGATGTGGGTGCAACACCATGCTGAAATCGCCAAACAAGTCGACTGCAGTTAAACAATGGGAACAGCGGTGGATTAAGAACTGTCTGTGTGGGGGGCTGTGGCGCAAAGTGTCCATTACTCTGTCCTAAATAGTCTTTGTTACAAAGACAACACAAAATATGCATTTGAAGATATCAGTTGGAAAATTATCAGATGTCAAGGATTAAAAAAACTAGAAATTTGATAGAATTTTTATTATAATAAATGAATTTGTTTCGTAGAAGACTTTGTTTTTTTGGCTATTTTTCTGATTTCTCCTTCACTTCCATTTTTCTCTTTCTTTCCCTGACCCATTAATCTATGCCACAGATTTCAAGATTTTGTTGATGTGAAACTTTTAAATTGTTAATTTTGAAGTAGGGATGGCAATAAGCCAAGCATGCTCTGCTATTCCATAAAATCACGATTAATCTGATCGTAGCCTCAATACCTTGTTAGTCTTTTTGCACCTGGGTTACCACTATCGCTGTAAACTCCTCCAGAGATAAATCCTGCCATTCCTTTGATCATCTTGATTTTCAGAAGAAACTGAGCATCAGCTGCTCTTAAGACAACAGCATGTTCAAGAGCCACTACCAGCAGTTCACCACTCTGTGAAAGCAAAACTGCGCAGGAACACCAACAAGGATGGCAAACATTAGTCTGAAATTGAGTCTACAGGCATTGATGCAGCTACCTGCATATGACAGACCAAGTGTCACCAACATCTTGGGAAATCCCAAAAAGTTATCTGACACCTCTGCCAGCAGGTGGTTGAGCACCTGCAACATCACAGACTAGGAGGAAACCCCAATTGGTTGCCAAGAAGTTTTTAGTGTTCGTTCATTTTCATGCTTTCGTTCATTTTCATGCAGATGATCATTTCAAGGAGCCAGTGACAACAGAAAGGTAATAACAATACTAACTGGCAGTAACAACATTTCCCAGGGAAGGAATGTCACTTAGATGAATAACCATTAAAAACTTACCATTAAGATGCCAACACAATTTAAAGGCAGTGTATAATGCATATACAGAGAGTTGATGAGAAGAAAACATTGCTAATGCGCGAGAACAGTTGTTTAGGTAGTGAATAACTCAAAATATACATGATAGTGCATTTTTTTTTAAGGGAATGTTTGAGATAAAGGAAAAAGTGTACTAATGTGCCTCCTAACTTGTCATAGTCATGTAACCTCTACCATGAGGCATTTACTGAGGGCTGCCATCTTGTAATCTAACAACTGACACAATACAGATATATCGTACTGCGCAAAATCGCAACAGTTAGAACAATGAATAGTGCAACACAGGAATGGGCCCTTCGGCTCTCCAAGCCTGCACCAACACGTTTTGCCCTTCCAAACTAAAACTGTCTTTGCTGACAGGATCCATATCCCTCCTTTCCCTTCCTCTTCATGTATTTGTCAAGGTGCTTCTTGAGTGCTACTATTTTGTCCGCTTCCATCGCCTCTTCTGGCGATGCATTCCAGACCCTTACCACCCTTTGTGTGGAAAAACTTGCCTCGCACATCTCTTTTAAACTTCCTCCCTCACACCTTGAACCTGTGTCCCCTAGTAATTGATCTCTCCACCCTGGGAAAAAGCCTGATAATTCTCACTGTATCCATGCCATTCACAATCTTTATAAACTTCTTTCAGGTCGCCACTCCCCCCTCAACTTCCTGCATTCTAGTGAAAACAAACCCAGTCTATCCAACTTTTCTTCATAGCTAAAATCCCCCATACCAGGCAACATCCTGGCATACCTTTTCTGTACCTTCTCCAAAGCATCCACCTGCTTCTGATAGTGTGGTGACCAGAACTGTATGCAATATTTCCAAGTGTGGCCTAACTAAAGTTCTATAAAGCTGCAGCATAACTTGTCTATCCTTGTAGTCAATGCCCCTTCCAATGAAGGCAAGCATGCCAAAGGCCTTTTTACTACGTGATCTACCTGCGCTGACACAGTGATCTGTGGACCTGCACACCAAGATCCCTCTGCATATCAATACTCCTAAGGGTTCTGCCATTCACTGTATAACTTCCATTGGTACTTGACCTTCAAACATGCAACACTTCACATTTTTCCAGATTAGACTCCATCTGCCGTTTTTCTGCCCATGTCTTCAGCTGATCTGTATCCTGCTGTGTCCTCTGACAATCCTCCTCACTATCCGCAACTCCACCAATCTTTGTATTGTCTGCAAACTTACTAATTAGGTCAGCTACATTTTCCTCCAAATCATTTATGTAGATCACGAACAGCAGAGGTCCCAGCACGATCCCTGTGGAACTCCACTAGTCACAACCCTCCATTCTGAAAAATGTCCTTCCACCGCTACACTCTGTCTCCAATAACTAAGCCAGTTCTGTATCCAACTTGCCAGCTCCCCTCTGATACCATGTGACTTCACCTTTTGTACCAGTCTGCCATGAGGGACCTTGTCAAAGGCTTTACTGAAGTCCATGTAGACAACATCAACCGCTTTTCCCTCTTCAATCATGTTCATCACCTCCTTAAAGCACACTGTTAGTGAGGCACGACTGTCTCCGCACAAAACAACGCTGTCTATCGCTAATAAGTCCATTTGCTTCTAAATGCATATAGATCTTGTCCTCAAGTATCCTTTCCAATAATTTCCCTACCACTGATTGAGACTCACAGGCCTGTAATTTCCAGGATTACCTCTGTTACCCTTCGTAAACAATGGGACACCATTGGCTATTCTCCAGTCTTCTGGGACTTCACCTGTAGCTAAAGAGGATACAAAGATGTCTGTCAATGCTCCAGCAATTTGCTGTCTTGCCTCCCTCAATATTCTGGGATAGATCTCGTCAGGACCCAGGTACTTATCTACCTTAATACTTTTTAAGATGCACAACACTTCTTCCAGCATTGTGAATTCACCTTTCTTGTTCCTGAGTTCTACTCATAGTTCCAATGTCATAGTTCCAAGTATTAACCAAAGCTCTAAGTTCATCTACCTTGCCTATTATACTTCTCGCATTAAAACGCATGCATTTCAGACCAGCTCCCTTGCTCTTTTCAACAGCATTTCAACAGTTAGGGTCTTGCATTGTACAGTTTCAATGGCTGTGTATTCTCAATAAGTGAAGTTCCAGAATCATGAAATGCACAACTGCTCAGACTTCCCCAGTACCTGCCCATCTCTACCAAAGAATTGGTGAAACACCTCAGGTGCTTGTCTGTTGTTTCACTTCCTGTTGGTGCCCCTTGGCAGCAGCCTGTATCCTTGAGAAGAAGGGCCATCTAGACAGAAGGTGATGTGCCTCATTCCCTTCTCATCATTGATGCTGGGCATCTATGGGTAAACCAGCAAATTGCAGGTCTGAGCTCACATCCTGCATCACTGTACATTCTGCTAGACCTAGGATTCTAAGCCATGTGCCACCCTTTCCATGGAGGCAGCCAAGCTTTGAATGCTGGAGCTATCCAGTACATAAATGATGGGTGGACTCCATCTTTCATTCAGTGTCTGGTGTGAACCTTTGACATCCTTGCCTGATGTTTTCCTGCTTGTCTCTGCAGATTTGGTATATCAATTATGGCCAAATCCTGATCCATTTCTTCTGCATGGGGCAGAACAGCTGCTTTGTCTGGCAGTCCTCTTGAGTGTCTGAAACCTTGGGCTTTTCCTCCTGCACCATCTGTGGACATATATTAATGATGTGCTGATCAGATTGACTCCTTGAGTGTATTCTAGTTAAAGTATCCAGTGAATTGAAAGAGGGTGTGGATATATGCATTATTGGTGGGTTGTCTGAGGTGTCAGAGACTTCATCCTTAGAGGTGCTTGAGCTGGGCAGCCACTGTGCCCACTTTAATTTGGCTGCCTGTTGACCCTCATACCTGTGGAAGAAGAGAGGGAGAATTAGATGAAGAAACACAACCACTTATATAAAATAAGTAAAGGGGAGACACGTGGTGGTTTGACTTGAGCGTCACCATGCCTCAGACGAGGGGCAAGGTTAAGAAGGCAGGACCTTCACAGTGACCTAAGCCAGTGCAGGAACTTTACATAGCGGAATGTAAAAATGTGGCTGCATTTTTGAGGAAAAATCATGTTGCTTACTGGCTTCTGCCATGCCTATCTCCTCATCAGCGCAACATGGTCTTAATTTTCAGTTGCAAGCTCATCCGTATTTCTTCAATGCAGTGAGGACGTGGAGATAAGGAAGCCCTCTGCCAGTTGGGCCTTCTCCTTCCTCTTGTGCATGAGGCTGACCTGCAATGTGAGAAAGAGAAGGTTTAAGTGTGATGGGAATGTGTGCACAAACAGTTGAACGTGCATGGGCTTGCTAGATGATGAGCTCTCTCCTGTGATTAGGAAGTGCATGTACCTGTTAAGTATTAGTGGAATGGCAGCATAATGTGGGTGTGAGCCCTTCAGTGCATGTTAGGTTATGCATGTAATGGTGAGCTGGGCATGTCTTTTTTCTTTATTCTTTCACAGGATGAAGCCATCGCTGGCTAGGCAGCATTTATCGCCCATCCCTAATTGCCCAGAGGGCAGTTAGGTGTCAACCACAATGCTGTGGAACTGGTGTCACATGTAGACCAGACCCGGTAAGGATGGCAGCTTCCTTCCCTAAAGGGCATTAGTGAACCAGATGGGTTTTTCCTGACAATCGTCAATGGATTTATGGTCATTATTAGATTCTTAATTCCAGATATTTATTTATAATTTATAATTCCAGATACTTATGTATTTGCCATGGCAGGATTCAAACATGGGTCTCCATGACATTACCTGGATCTCTGGATTAACAGTCCAGCGATAATACCATTAGGTCATCACCTCCCCTTCCACGTGACATGGTCTACACAGTCAGACTGAGTAATGACCCTGAGGGTTAGGACGCAGTGAGAAGATGTTGGCAGTTATTTTTACAGAGCATAGCAGATCAATCATCCTCTTTCTTTAATGGTTCCCAGTGCATTGATATCTTGGAGTTGCTAATGTTTGCAACCTGGGCCCAGGCCATCCAGGTATAAAGGGAGGACCTTTTCTGCCCTTCACTGGGAAAGGCTTTCTTTCTGATCCAGAGAAGCTGTATTCAGTGTGACATCATAAAAGCACCGTGTGACGCTTGGAAACATCTCTGGCCTAGGGGGTGTGTGGCTCGCAGCAAGCGGAAGAATGCAGGAATCCCTTTAAAGATGGTGCCAGAACCTTCAAAACTGGGAAGTGCTGGGTGCAGGTGAGACTGTCTGGCTGGCAGCCACATGTGATTTACTGACTAACTTACTATAGAAGCCACTTGCATACAAAAAGAGCTGAAGAGCCAATGATAGCTCCAAAAAAAAACTTGTCGTGGGCCACAGTGGATGTGACACCATACCTGAACCCCAAAATGGAAAACTTGACCCTATGTCAATAACGTACACAACATTTCTGAAACTCAAACAATAATTGCACCACCTAGTCATAGACTCTTATATTTATTAATGAAACACCATGCAAACTATTCATTAAAGGGCAAATAGGTGAGAATAATATTTTACTGCCAATATAAAAAAGTTAGATAGTAACTATTAACTATTGTACATATTAGAAAATGTATACATTGCTCAGTTCTATTATTCAGTACAATTACACAGGAAAGAGTTTTGCTTTCAAAGTAAGTAACCCCTCTTCCCACAAAAACATTATACATAAATCACAAATTAATATGCTTTCAATTTACATTCAGAATTGTATAGAATGTTTAAATGAAGTTAGACATATTCACTGAGA